GCAGGCTTTTCTTCAGATTACCTCCTCTAGAAGAGTCTGTCATGGAATATTCTGTTAAACTTTTGTGCTCCGATATCCTGACTGACCGTACTCATAATCACCTGTATGATATTTGGTAGATTAGGCTGTTGTGTTCAGTTGGGTCTACTAGATCTTTTACATGATCAAGTTTCTTCCTGAGTGAGTATGTGATTGTAAACGCCACCCTGATCCAGCATTGTGGAGATACAATCTCTAATATCCTCAATCGAAGCAGTATATTTATCATGAGTTGGGCCTTTCAGCCACCCGTCACCATTACTGATCCAATTTTGTTTTTCATATGCCTCGATAAGAAATAACCCTCCACGGTGTTGGCGGCTGAAAATTTTCAACCGTAGTCACAAGTCTCGGCGTAATCCCTTTATAATTAGTACCGACCTTTGACATAAGTGATTTCGTTTTCACTGACATTTTGTAATTTTTTCCTACGTTATTATTAGTGCTCTGTAGCCTTCGATTCAAGTTCGCGGAACAGCATACCTGATCTCCTAAATCCACTCTTGAAACTACACAACAAAGCTTTCAACAACCGAACATTATGCCAAATCAAACAATTATCCATTGCCAAAACTGGATTTCGAGTGCTTGTGTGGGTGCTGTTTCTGAGACACGCACATGGAACCTAAGTGCAGTTATTCCCTTAACCTTCATCTGGCTGATATAGTGAATCTGGGAAGATTACTGTATCGTGTTGCTATTACGTCAGTAATGTAGACGCTAAGTGTAGATTTGTAGGTAGAAGAGGAACGTCACTTGATGGGATTCAAAATTTTCATCGACTCACGTGACTGGGACGGGTGTAATGCATGCTTAGTCACCAGCTACTTCATCGTACGTCAGCTAAAGTAGGTTTAGTTTGAAAAAGGGCTAAAGATAATCAGATTAAAATATAACACCAGTCCATAGTAATTTTGATTGCTCGTTTGAGCTGTGTAGAGAAATGCAGGCTTCTTGGTTGCGATCCGTGTGACAAGAGAAATCGCTGATTGGATAATAGGTAATAAGGTTCAGGATCGATGTCTGTAGCGCGGATATATCCACACGTTATCATACTGATCGTCGTACAGAACCCAATTGTTTCATTTCTCCTACTTTCTTTTAACAACTTTTGACCTCAATTTGTGTTTTTCATCTTGGTGCCTTCTAGCTTGATGTGCTGGTGGGTATGGGAACCTGGCCCACTACGCAGTTACGACAGGCCCCATGCTGATAGTGGTTGGATGTGGGTGTCCATCCTAGCAGTACAGCATCCAGTCCTGATTAAAAAAGTAGTTTTGTTGTCTTCCGCTCTCATTCAAGTGCAGAAATCCCAATATGGGTCAGGTCAAGCAGACGAAATAAACGTAAAATGTTGTACATAAGTGAATCAATTCAAATTGCCCTACTGCAAAGAACAAGTTATATGAAGTAGACTCTAGTCAGGTAGCCAAATCAGTCCGAACCAACAATCAGACACTATGAATAGCTGCCACAATTTTGTCTGCCAGCCCTTGGCCTTCTTTTACACTAATCCTCTATCAATTTGCATTGCATGTCGAGGTAAGCGGTGGATCGACATACGCAACACCGCCCTAGTCACAACAGTCAGTGGTTTACAGTCTCAGCGACTGACTGAAACATCTCACAGCTGTTTGTTCGCAGTGCATCATACTCATCCCTAAATAGGTAGTTGGATATCTTGCCAGCACCAGAGATGTTTGCTGGCAAACGGCACGCGGGCTGAGACTTCAGAACCTTACCAACCCGGCTGATGCAACTTCCCTAGTAGAAGTGGCCAACCCATCTAACCAATTTGCTCCATACTCCCAAACTGGGATTGGTTGCGGACCAGTCCTGAAGCCTATTTTTATATTTGATAGGTAATAAACATATGTCAAACGTAGATTTCCGTTCAAGACGTTCGGGAAACTGGATTTTTTCAGCGTCTATGTACTCTTTATATTATGTCCAAGATACGAAGAGTGATGCTCATCAGTGAGTCTATAACCAAGACAAAAAGTTGATTGTGGGCACTCCTCGCAGATACTACCGGTTGTCACCACTTCGAATAACGGACTCACAATGAGTAGTTGCCCGGCTGCATGAGCTCGGGTAGAGAGCCTTAATTAGTGTTACGTACCCGCTCCGCACTCCACAAACACTGACACACCCTCTCGATCAAAATTCCATAATCAGGTCAAGAAATATGGCTTCAGGTACTGAAAAGAATAGCTGTCTGCCAGAAACAGTCGAAGGGTGGAGATCTCATAGTGTAAGTCCGAAGCCGTTCTATTTTATTCGAGTTTGCAGTCCCCAAGCTCCAGTTCGGTGTCGGCATGCAATGGGATCTTAGACATGATGTTAATTGTCACAAAAAATCATCCCGTTTTATAAACTGGAATGGCAAGCAGCCAAGACCATGCTGATGAGACTATCTCTAATTTCTACACAGTACCTCGGTTAACCTGTCGATTTGCTGTCGTAAAATCTTGATGGTAAACAACCCGGTCCTGAATGTTTTTAGGTATGAAACACTCCTCTTAACTTCGAGGCAGGTTGGAGGACCGACATCTACGACACATTCAGTTCGGGGCTGGATACTGTCAGTTGAACTGCGCTTCAATGTTCCACTCAACTCTCCATCCGGCTGTTGTAAGGTTATCACGGAGCTACCTACTTCTGCGGCAGTTTCACAATCCTGTTTTTAAAGTATTCAGAGTGAGCGTAGATAATTACCGAACAGAACCTACTTCTCACGACTTCGCTTTCAACACTCAAGGTCGTAGTTAACACTCTCAGCCTCCTGACGTTTAGATTGCTTCCGCTCCCCACTATGGTCAGAATCAGCTGAAACTATTTATTACTCATCGGCCAGTTTGGATAAGACTGCGGGAACCCACCGGCTTTTGTCAGCCTCAGGATGTAAGGTTACCGTCTTCACCACGACCACACTAACATACTGTTATGTTAGGCTTCGTCAAGAAAAGAATTTTGCTGTTCAGATGAAAATGTGCCATCTCTCAAATACACGCTTTTCACTCATATCTTCTGGTCGACTACACATGCCCTATTGCTTTCTATTTTCTGCGACGCGTAAGGTGCATAACACACGTACCAACTCAGGATCAGACTCCAAACAGGCACTGCAGAGACAGAGCTCCAACGATGGCTTATGGTAGAGGGATCTGTTTGCACTTATTGTTGATTTTATCTCATTGAACACCAAGTAACGTTTGTGCTGGCCAGAAATAAGCAATTTTCTGAACGAAATTATCAGAGACGAAAACTGTCGGTTCATTGGCATGGAATACGCATATATTCATGCCCGTTATGCAATTTTGGCATACGGTTGAGACATTAAAAGTCGCAATATGATGTCACCAGCAAGGCTTGAGAATCCAGGAAGTGTTTTACTGGCTTGGATCATTAGCCACCGGTATGAACTTTTACGCTTAACATGGACAGCGAGAAGTCTAAGCAAAAGAGGTGAAAGTAAGGTTACGGTTAGTTGTCTTATAGGGTTATGGAAACTGGTGGGCGGTTGTTACTCACACGATGGAAGCCGTAGCTGCGAAATAGATGCACTTGCAGTGTAGGACCGCAGCGGAAGAAATATGTGTAAGCAATATCATACGAACTTTAGAAGTTTTAGATTTGTGCTGGAAAAGACAAACAGCCGAAATACCACAGGTAGCGGAGTGTACTACTTATGGAGTCAGTCTCTTATAACCTACCTATAGAAGGCAGCATCAACACGAATCCATGGTAACGCGGTCATTTCCAATCCAGCCAGACTTCGTTCACAGATTTCCTTCATAGCGTAGGTTTTTACGTCGAAATAGCAACTGATTTTAGTCAACATTATATGACGAACCTTTCTAATTTGGTCGGTACTTAAGTGACAAAAACTCCTACTGGCGTAGCTAGTAGGGTCATTTTATTACTCTTTCGACATCAGAGTTCGTGACGCTTACAACAGCTGCCTGGGTACCAACCGGATTGAGACTACAGGAGTGAAGATCTTCAGTAAAAGTTAAAGGCACCGTCGCATATAGATTTGCCAAAAACACTAAGATTGATGTCAATTGCCACATGACCGAAAGCAGGCTATGGTGGACACACAGAATATTCATAATGCGCTTATCGGTTTTCCGTTATTCATTCTGAAAAGTATAAAGTTCGGCGGCATAATCGTTCTTACCCCTTAGGAATACTTCTCACTCAATGACGCATTCTAGTGGTTAGGGACACACTGCATTCCCAAACGTGATCAAGCTACAAACATAGCAGTATCTGTTACAGTTATTTCATTAGTGAGGTAACTGAGACTTTAAATGGTTAATAAAACTTAGGTAGTTCAAAAGATGTAATCATTTTAAGCTGGCAACTTCTTATTCAAATAGTGAGCCAACTTATGATGTAAGACTGAACTCTCATGTGCAGCATACCTTACAGGTCACAGAAAATAGGACATACCACAAGACTTGACACTTTCTCAGTCATAGAGTTACAGCCACCTAGATAGACTATCAGTCACAGATTCGTTGCCTACAATACTTTTGTTGCCAGTTAACCTACACAAGCAGAGAGAAACGAGTGTCTAGTTTTAACAAACACCATAGCCTGCGCCTACTGAAAGGTGAGTCAGAAACAAAGCCAGTTATGCTAGGAAGTTAATGACATTAAGACCAACAGTTTAGTTAGCGTTACACCACATCACATTACTAAACGTTGGCCAGGAGTTGAGAAGAATCCTTAGACCACAACTCAATATGTGACTCGTTAGCAAAATCTTGTAGACTACAATCAATAAGGACACGAAAGTTACCTTCCAGCATCCATTTCCAGGGTGTGAAATGAGTAAACTGGAACTAATGACTTCCTATGATGGCAAATAAATGCACGTTTCCTCATAAGGTTTCGAAATTATTCGTGAAATTTTAAGAAACTTTCCAAATGCAAACTTCAAAGAAAAAGTCTTGGTTCCGCCAGCATATATTAAAGCAATCAATTTAACCAAGTTTGATTTGTAACTCCTTCTTCTTAGCCTTTTCAATCTTTGCTTGTTTAGCGATTGATTTAGACCCCATAACGCCACCACCCCAATGTTTCCGTATCTGAGAATTGTTTTAAACTGAAACAACTTTCTTACTTCCTCAAACCTGTCGTTGTAATTATTCTTCACCATCTCCACAATTTTGGACAACCGTGATTTGTCCTCTCTAAAAGATCAGCAAAGTGAGTGGAAACTTACTCTCTGATGTTTGTGAAAGCTAAACAGGTGCAAGTCTTCCTGTGAACCAGAAGTCCAAGTCTCGCTTTACTTTTAACAATGCAATATGGAACACCCATTTTCCGACAGAGTGCAGGCAGGAAGAGAATGACTTCAATGGGTTCAACATCGTGAGCAATAACAACTAGGCGGGCCTTCTTTTGGGTAATAGCTGACGTCACCTCGCGAATACCAGCTCTCACTGTTGGCTTACGAGAAGTGGGCTCGTCGGGCTTACCCTCAGCACGAAGTTGAGCCCGGTGAACCAAAAGCATTTTCTTGGCTCGCTTGCTCAGAGGTTCGTACTTAGCGGCCAGGTTGAAGATTTGGTTTGCTATATCAACGCTATACACTAAAGAAGGTTAGCCTTACCTGAATTTCTATCCAATGTTTGTGTAAATTGATGAATTGGAGGTGGTACCTTCAACCGCTTTTTGAGAACGGCCTTTTTTCTTTGAAGCTCGACATACTTGGGCCACTTAACAAAACGATAAAGGTTTCTCTTGGGTTGGATGTCTTGTCCTATCCCGAAGTTCTTTGGCCGCCGCTGAATCAAAGGGTTTTTAACAACCGTTTTCTTAGCTGCAGTTTTCTTGGCAATGTCAGGGAGAGGAGCAACTTTTGAAGGTTTCCCCTTTCTAACAGTCGGGATCTCTGGCTCCTGAGGAATAATTTCCTTGATCTTTTTGGCCTTTATAACCTTCTTTGGCTTGTTCGGCTAAAGCGAAAAGTGCAGTGGGTTGGAGACCCAAAATAACAACCAGCTTACCATGCTTAGCAATTTGAAGTGGGCGCTGCAGTGTACAGCCTAACAAGGCCAATTTGCCATCAAACTTCAAACTTCGTGTTGTAGAATTAGTGAAGGGCGGTTCCTTAGGTTCTACGTCTGTCTTATTGGAATACGTTCTGAGTTTGGAATGGTCACAGTTATCTTCCCAGTTCTGAAAAACCAGAAAGGATAGAGATACGACTGATTAATTATTCTGGCCTCAAGTTAGTATTACTGCATCTGATCTGGGGAAAGCTTCTCGAGTATGGCCCGTCGGTGCCGAAGAACTCGAGGTGTGCGTCTAGCCTCCTTTTAAAGGTATCAGGGGATGGGGCTGTAACAACTGCTGAAGGGAGGGAATTCCACAGTTTACAGACTAACTGCAAATGAGTTAGCACGGATCTTTGTACGTGCTCTCTGATGCTCTATTCTTTACGGGTGACCCCTCGAGTCACGTTTCCGACTTAAGCTTAGGAGGGATCTGTTGGGATGGAGGGGATTATGGGCGATGTGGTACATCATGATCATATCCCCTCTGATCCTCCGGTGTTGTACTGGGTGCAGCTGAAGAGCAACTAAGCGGTCTGGGTACGGTTTGTGCCGTAACCCAATCACTTTCTTTGTAGCTCTTCTCTGTCCCCTTTCTAGGATGGTAATGTCCTTTTTCAATTATGGGGACATTACAAGCGAATATTTTTCTGAATGAGAACGAATGTACAGAGCAAACACTGTGGTGAAAAGGGAAGGAGTTAGACACCCTAAGATTCGTGAGAGAAACCCCAAGACTCCATAAGACCTATTGGCTGCAAGGTGACAGTAAACAGGGGTTCCTAGTGTATCATTTAGCGTAACTGCCAGATCTTGTTCCATATTACAGTAACAGATATTTACTTCACCTAGAGAGTAAGAACTGGGACTGCCCTTATGTCTGTCAACTATCATAATTCGACACTTCTTCCAGTTGAGAGGAGCAGGTTTTCTGTAGTCCAATTAAGGATTTTCGTAAGGTCCTCCTGGAAAACCGAAATATCCGTTGGCTCCTGTATTTCCCTCCAGATCTTCAGATCGTCGACATATAATAGACAATGTGAATTAAGGACCCCTGGTAGGTCACTGATAAAAGCAAGAAACAGTAGTGGGCCCAGAATAGAACCTGGAGGCACGTCACTCAGCATCGGGAGCCAGTCAGAAAGAGTGGAGCCAACTCTAGCTGACTGCACCCTGGTGTACAGATAATCTCTGAGCCAGATTAATAATTTTCCGTGTACATCCATGAGCTGGAGTTTCTTACAAAGGATGTCATGATCTACCCTGTCAAAGGCCCTAGAAAAGTCAAGTAAACCAATGCGTATAGGCTATTTCTTCTCGACAGAGAGTGTCTAGCTATTCCAAGCTGTCAAAAAGTTGGTGTTACATGACCTTCCTGGTAGAAAGCCATGCTGACAGTCGTTTAGGATTGATTTCTGAAGTAACTGATCACGAAGTGAGTCATTTATGACTCTGCATGACCTTCGCAACTGAGGAGATCGGGGAGATTGGTCTGTAGTTGGAGGTGAGTAGTTTGTCTCCACTTTTATAAATTGGGATGATAGCCACCCGTTTCCAACAGAGGGTAGCCTGCCTTTCAGAAACGAGCATTTGAAGAGGTTTGCTAGTGGGGCAAACAGAACTTCAGCACACTCCTTGAGTGCTCTTGGGTGAATACCGTCGATTCCTGGAGACTTATTCGGGTTCAGTTTCTCTAATATTTCCATAATTACAGGGGGTTTAAACTCCATATGATTTAGTCCCTCTGCGATACGGGTGTCCAACAGAGGCGGGGTTTTGTCTTCCATATGACAGTTGTTTTGGAACTCATGAGCTAGTAGGTTTGCAACTTCGGAGTTGGAATAGGGAATCTCCAAACTAATGGGGTCCTGTAAACTTAGTGAACTGTTACTCTTCTGTTTCATCAACGAGTACAGTATCCCATGATTCCCCTCCAGGGTTCTACAAAGTTGTGTCTGGTGGTTTATTCTGTCATTCCTGATCCTTACTGAACATTTGTTACGGATGTCCTTATAATTTAGCCAGTCAAAAAGGCTATTAGTGCACCTCCATAGATTCCAAGATCACCGTTTACGCCGTATTAGTTTGCGCGTGCTAGACTTAAGCCAGGAGGAGTAGAACTTGTTAGTTCTTCTTGGGATCAGAGGAGTGCTGTCTTCTATCGTCTGTAGGATTATATTTTTCAACAGACCCCATCTAGCATCAAGATCCAGTAGGTCATCGCTATTTAAGCAAGTGGAACCTTCTAGATCTTGCCAAACCTTCTCGAAATCAGCTCTCTTGTAATTCCTAGCTGGAGGCTGGTCAGGAACGGGTGGCTTAGATACAGAAATACTGAGGGAGATAACCGCATGGTCACTTAGGCCAAGAGGGTTGAAAACGTTCAAGTTGCCTAACCCATCGAACCGATTCATGAAAATATAATCTAGTCGGGATGCCTTACCGTCAGGCCCCCAGCGAGCACACTGGGAAACTTGTTCTGTCAAGGGGTTTTCCAGCAACAATTCCCGAAAGTCTTTTAGAGCAGTAGATGGGCTTTCTGTGGTAGGGAGTTGAGGAAACTTAAAATCTCCCATAATGAGGACCTGTGGGAAGCTCAGTTCCAGGGCTCCTCTAATGGACTGTAATAACATTTTATTTAACGTGGCATCAGCTTCAGGAGGGCGGTATAAAACTTCAACTAAACACGGACCTCCGCAGCACTTAATGCTACACCAGAGGACATCTTTGATACTAATTCTATGAGACTGAATCTCATGGACTTCTAAGGAATGGCAAATGTAAAGAGCAACGCCACCTCCTGGACCCCCCGGTCCATCCTTTACGATTAGGCTGAGCTGTCCTAGACGAACTTCCTCGTCTTTTATGTTCTCTGATAGCCGTGTTCCACAGGAAGCCATTATGCTAGGACTTTCCTCATCCACTAATAACCTTAACTCAGGTACCTTGGAGCGTAGGCCTCGCACGTTGCTGAAGGTGCAGCGAACAAGAGTATGAGGGCCAGAGGTCCCGGCAACCGGTTGAGTTAAGTATGAATTACCGGCCTTTAAATGGCCGGCTTTGACAAGTTTTTTGATGGGCGGTGGAACCGAGGCCTACTGTATCCACTGATCTCTTTGACTGGAACTGGTGCGGGGTTCTTCCATCTGGGACAAGGTCGATGAATACTCTTGCTCGTCGTCCAGCCGTTCTACCGTCAGGTGTGCGTTGGCCAACGGTAAGCGCCTGAGTCGCCTCTCAGTCTGCCTTTGTTCCCCGGGTCTGCACTCGCTTATCTTTATTTCTCCAGGGGATGTATCAGACACATTATACCAGGATTCCAAGGTAGTTCTAACCATGGCCGGAGGGTCGAGGGTTACTTGGAGTAGCCTGGGGTACGTATAGTCGAGAGGTGAGCCGGCCTTGGAAGACGATTAATTCTTTCCGCCCCCACATCGATTTGGAGTTTTCTGGCAATATACATTCACCGATTCGTGTCGTGGATAAGTTCGGCAGTTTCGGCACCCGAACATTCGGGAATCCCGTGTGTAACTACGGAGCGGCATAACTCTTGAGAGTGAACCTTCTTGCTGTTGCGAATACGTTCGTGCACTGACCAGGGCCTATCAGGCCTAATCCTGACGTCAAACAGTTTACGTTTCACCAACTGATGACCCTTCAGAAGGATGTGTTCGGACTGGCGTGTACTATCAAGAGATACTCCTTAAGGTCTAGGAGGGCCTTTGGGGGAGAACTTACCAAGCGCTAGGCGTTGAAGAGATGGACTGCAGGGAGAGGTTCCTAGGAGTTTGCGAACACCCTTCCATTGGTCAAGGTCATGTTCTTCACTATCGGTCAACAGGGAGGAGCCACTTTCCTGAACGTTGAAGAGTATGAGTGATCTAAGATTGAGGTTATGGTCTGTCTTTTGGAGCTTGTTTCAACCTGTGAATACAGACCTAGACTTCTGGTGAGTATGTTGCGAGTGGCTTGGAAGACCTGAGGTGCCAGTTGTGGGAGTTTTCTTGATGATTGAATGAGGCTAGTGGCGAAATGCATGTGGCTTCTGCCTTCAGTTACAGGTGGTGTGAGCAAGATCTGCTTTTTTAGAACGTTTATCGCCTGTGTAGGAGGAACAATGTTCAGCTTATGGTTCGGCTTCTCATCAGGCTGAGCAGTCGTTACTTTATCAGACTTACGATCGTTACTTAATGTTCCGTTTTTAACGAAACTGACCTGCCTACATTTCTTCAGGCCCTTTTTTCGGCGCTTATCGGGTGTGAGATTCCCACTCATCACTGAGGGGATCTGTTCCAAAGGCATGCCAACGGGGAGACAGTCAGTGACAGTGATGAATTCGCTACTTCCCTTACTGCTGACTTGAAGGATCTTTTTATGGCCATGAGACTTCTTTAGATTGAGGCTGGTTTGTGTAGAGATCTCAGCCGTAAGGTGGTCGGAGTTCTGTCTCACTAGCTCTAGGCCTATTCGGTACCTGCTTTTGGATCAACAGCGTGGACAAAAATACCAATCACCATCAAAAGGGCTATTAAGCAGTGCTTCGTAATAAACAGATGGCTGGCTGGAATCACAAGAGCAGTGAGTCCACTGAGGGCAAAGCCCACAACCCATCGCCTTAGCCGAGAAGCTGACGTTTCTGCGACAAACCACGCAAACATCCTTTGAAACTGTCATCAGACTGTACAAAGGGCAGAAAAATGTTTGTTCAAGGAGTTATGAACCTCAGCACAGTAAACGCAGTTTTCAGGCGGCAGGATATTGGACTGAGCGGCATACATTAATCCTGACAGAAGAAATCTTTGTAAGTATCCATTTTCTCATCGCAAGTGTTCACCGAAGAAGCAACTATCACAAGTTCCGGTGATAAGCTTGTAGCGTCACACACTTCCCCAAAACCAGTGGCCTAGGGTTGGGCGAAATTCAACACTCGTGTTGACCTTGACAGCCTTACCGGACTCGTTAAGCTGAAGGCACTCGATGAAGCGTCTTCGCCATTTGGCACGCTGTTCTGTTACGACGAAGTC